GACCGGAAGAGTCCAGCGGTACAATGATGTTTGCTGCTAATTCATGGACTGTTCTCCAGCCCATGATTACATACCAGAGCCATGGAGTTACGGGTTTCTCTGGCGGGAAAAGCACTCAGGATCCTAGCATGGGTATCAAGTTAGGTCTTTGCGCCTTTCATGGAAAAGGGCATAGCCTTCAGATCCCTCAATGATCAAAGAAAACTGACGACATTTTTGCTGATGTCACTGATAACAAATTGCCTGAACAGCATCCGATTTTAAGTATAGACAAGGCATCGAGCTAGAAAAAACAAATTACAGGACACCATATTCAAACAGCTTGTGAAAACCTCAATACTTTTTTAAACTTATGAGGCCATATTCCATTCTTTAAAAAATAATAATAATGTTTACTAAACTTGCATCGAGCCAAATTTTCTTGTGTGAGTTAGTCCTGTGTTAAAGAACAAAAATTGATCATTTTTAAAGAAAACTGTTTCTGGAAATTCTTGATGGAAAAACTCAGTAAACATTTAATCTGCACTTGCTTAGAATAAAATTATCTAAATGAGAACGTTTTCATTAAGGTTCGTAGCTGGTGTTATTTGAAGTGGAATGATTATCTTTATTTATGTTTATTGTAATGACCAGGTAAATTGCTAAGATATGTTGTACCTGACCATTTTTCCTGGAATAATTTATTGTTATGACGTTATGTTTTGTTCTTAATGTAAAGTTTTATTTTCTTCGATGTAAAAGCACAGCAAAACTAACTTCTTTAGCGAAGGTTTCAGATGGACAATTTTAGCTCATACTAAATATCTTCTGGTAGCACGGTAATTAAAAAGAAAAGGTGTTACTCGCAGAAAACCGTTTGGAAGTCGGTTTCATTAAAAGAACTTGGCAACACGTNCTGGCGGGAAAAGCACTCAGGATCCTAGCCTGAGTATCAAGTTAGGTCTTTGCGCCTTTCATGGAAAAGGGCATAGCCTTCAGATCCCTCAATGATCAAAGAAAACTGACGACATTTTTGATGATGTCATTGATAACAAATTGCCTGAACAGCATCCGATTTTAAGTATAGACAAGGCATCGAGCTAGAAAAAACAAATTACAGCACACCACATTCAAACAGCTTGTGAAAACCTCAGTACTTTTTTCAACGTATGAGGCCATATTCCATTCTTTAAAAAATAATAATAATGTTTACTACACTTGCATCGAGCCAAATTCTCTTGTGTGAGTTAGTCCTGTGTTAAAGAACAAAAATTGATTATTTTAAAGAAAACTGTTTTTGGAAATTCTTGATGGAAAAACTCAGTTAACATTTAATCTGTACTTGCTTGGAATAAAATTATCTAAATGAGAACGTTTTCATTAAGGTTCGTAGCTGGCGTTATTTGAAGTGGAATGATTATCTTTATTTAGGTTTATTGTAATGACCAGGTAAATTGCTAAGATATGTTGTACCTGACCATTTTTCCTGGAATAATTTATTGTTCTGACGGTATGTTTTGTTCTTAATGTAAAGTTTTATTTTCTTCGATGTAAAAGCACAGCAAACCTAACTTCTTTAGCGAAGGTTTCAGATGGACAATTTTAGCTCTTACTAAATATCTTCTAGTAACACGGTAATTAATCAAAGGCCCTTGTGAGGCAGCTCATGGATGAATGTTTCCTTGTGCTTTTGTTTCACAACGATTCTTCGTGCGAAACCTGA